CGAACCGAAACCAAATATGTAGTATTCATTCTTACTAAACAATAAATCATGAGACATACCAAAAGTGATGGTTTCCTTGAGGCCACATGAGCTGAGTGAATCTTTGAGCATCTTCTTTGTTTGTAACATAGTCAATTCCAAGGCCTTCATGAAGAGGAATTACAGGCATTTGGCCAACGTAGCCATGGTAAGGCTTCTCGTTCACGTTCTTCCTCTTTGTCTCCGTCGGTAGATCGAACAATTCCTTAGCCGCGGCGAAGGCGGAGTCGTCTAGTTGCTGCCTTACTCCGTCGTACATGGCCACGAAACAGCCGTATTCCTCTAAGGCTTCACATGCTTCTTTGGAAATGGAACGCCATGTGGAAGTGTTTGGTTTCAAATCTTGGTGGCTCGTGAGATCAAGAATTGGAACTTTAGATTTCAAGATTGATTCCATTATGGATATAATTTGTTTCTAAGTTGATCTTATTGTGTTTAGTAAGAAGCAACTTTGGTATTTATAGAGACTTTATTATATACAATAATGAGAATGTTACATCTTGTAATGAGACTTTCAATACCTTTAATTTAATTATTATGTTCCTCTTTGGCTTGCTAATGTTATGTTGTGGAAAATGATTATTTTCATCTTTAATATAAAAGTAAGTTTAAGACGAAGACAAATTAAAAATAATGAGTTTATATTGTAAGAACGTTCAATCAAATACTAAAACAAACCAATCCGTTACAAACCGAATTGAAAAATCATATCAAAAACCGAATTTGAGTTTTAATACGGAAATAATTGTAAGAAAATTTGTATATTCGAAACCAACCCTAAACCAGAATCAGAAATAACTTTTATTTTTTGTTAAAAAGTTAAAATAAAAATCCATTCTCTATCAATATTAGTTTGATAACTATTTGTAAACCAAAAATCGGAAAGAAAAAACTCAAATCATAATCGAAATCCGAATTAGATATCCTAGTTTATAATGTGGTCCAGAGATTCCGGTGACTAGTAGCATTAACATATATTGTGGTCCAGAGATTCCGATGACTAAGTGATAGTAACATACAATGTGGTCCATATAGATTCCGGAGACTAATAATATTTGTATAGTAATGTTTTGTCATTGCTCTAAAACGAATACTTGAAACCTAAGAAGTAAGATCCTTTCAACATTTGTCTTCTAATGAACATCCAAAATCTATTTTCATCTTAAAGAATATTCCATCCAAAATAGTCTAAAATTATTTAAACGCATAAGAGATATGATACATACAAAAACCCACCAAAATCTTGAAAATATATAACAAATAAAATGTCTTCTAAAATCCCTACCTTAGATTTCTCAAGAGAAGATTTAAAGCAAGGCACAAAGTATTGGGAATCAACAAGCAAGAACATCAAAGAAGCACTTGAAGAATATGGATGTTTCATTATAGATCTTCAAGACAAGACTCCGTTGGATCTTCTTGATCAAGTCTTTGGTTCTTTAGTCGAGTTGTTTGATCTCCCGACACTGACAAAAATGAAGAACAAATACGATAAGCCTTTAAATGGCTATGTTGGTCAGATTCCAGCTCTTCCTCTTCATGAAAGTCTTGGCATTGATGATGCTACTTCGTTAGAAGCAACAAGAAGCTTCACTGGTTTAATGTGGCCGCAAGGAAACGAACATTTCAGGTATGTATTAAAGGATCCGATCCATTTTAAACCTGACAACTATTGTTTTCTTCGATATATAAACCTTTAACTTTACTCGGTATGTGTTAGTGAAACTATGCATAACTATGCGGAGTTTGCAGCCAAGCTTGATCAAATGGTGACTCGGATGGTTTTTGAGAGCTATAATGTCGAGAAATATTACGATCAGTACATCGAATCAACAACTTATCTTCTCCGTGTGCTGAAGAATCGTGCACCAAATAACAAAAACCCTACTTTAGGATTCGTCACACATACAGACAAGAGCTTCACAACAATACTTCACCAGAATCAAGTCAATGGTCTAGAAATGGAAACTAGAGAAGGAGAGCGAATCAATATCAGTCTATCATCACCTTCACTCTTCATGATCGTGGCAGGCGATGCATTGATGGTAAAGTTACATTATAACACAAAATTACAAATGTGTAATTCAGAAAGACACAGATTGAGCTAATTGAAGTGTATATACCTTTAGGCATGGAGCAACGATAGGGTTTGGTCCCCGCGACACCAAGTTCTAGTGAGCGGAGATACAGACCGATACTCTCTTGGAATGTTTTCATTCAACAATGGAACTCTTCATGTACCAGAAGAGCTTACTGATCATCAACATCCTCTCAAGTATAAGCCATTTGATCATATTGGTCTACTTCGATTTTACCGTACTGATACAGGTTACAAATCAGAGTGCCCTATCAAAGCCTATTGCGGGATATGATCCGCTTCTATTATGTATGTATCCAGTACTTTAAGCTTCATAAATGTAAAATGTAATAATCTTAAAAGAGAAAAGAAGCAAGTATAATATTACTCAGTAAGACATATATACTTACATGGTAGGTCACAGGGACATGATCCATTTCTTGGTTTGTAATCAGACATCATTTTAATGCACAAAATCGAGAAAAAATCATTCTTCATCACTGTGATTGCCATTGACGCAGACTCTAGAAACCATTTCGGATTCTGTTGGCTGAGACATTACTCTCTCATACTTAACAGAACGAGAAGGGAGAATCCTAAACTGTCCAAAGGTTAAAGCTTGAGAAAGCTTGTCATAGTCCCATCTCTGCTGAACAAACACAATGACCGCAAGTAGAATCGCTGTAACAGGTATCGCGATATCCCCAAACTTGGAGAAGAAATCGAAATTCGGATTAACAAACTCGTGTTCTTCTCCAATGAAGTAAGGATCAGGAACAGAACCAATGATGTAGTCATAGGCGTGCGGGAAAAGCCTGACCAGCGTGATCCCGAAGTAATATAGCTTCCTTAGTGGCTGATGGGAATCGATCTGCCACATAAAATTAGCAATTACCTGAGGGAGCAAGAATAAATCTTGAACCAAACCAATATACTCCTCTGTTTCGGTTTGCCACCATTTTGCAGCGGCAGGTGAATAACTTCCAACAACTTCAGCAAATCTGTCGGTTCTTGCGGGATGTAGGATCAGAGCAAGTATGTATCCAAGTGCGTGTAATACCAGGGAGATGAGAAGCACTCGGCGATCACTTGGAACTTTATGNGGTTCTTGAGNTNTTNGAGTGAGCAATCTGGCTCGNGACTTCCACACTTTCTGACAAAGCCTTAGAGTTAGTAGAAAGCAAAGCATCACGAGGAGCTTCACGGTGTAATCAATCACATTGAACCATTGACTTCTCTGTAGATCAAACGAAGGTGTTTCGTACGTTGGTGCTGAAGCTGATTTTCTTTTAAAGAGAGCCTCTGCTCCAGTGATTAACGGCAAGCTATAACCGATAGCTTGAACTCCAAGCATTACAAGTGAAACGAAAGGAACCGAGTCTGTCTTGGTTCTGATGTCAAAGAGCTGGCTCGTGATGCAACCAATAGAGAATGTTAGCGTGAGAACCTTGAGGATCCCTTCAACGCCTGCACGAGAAAGAATGTCTTCACGCTGCCTTCGGTAAAAGATAGGCGTTGTTTTGAGATTAACAGATTTAAAATAGAGAGGATCATCCTCTGGTCTTCTGCTAGATATTGAAACCTTAGCCGTTGGATCGGCCAACCACCGTGATTTGATAGGTGGATAAGAAACAACCACGTCGATCAAACAATCTAGCCCGGCTTCAAGATCAGCACTCTCAAACAAGATTTTCCACGAGGCCCTCACGTCTCTGCAACCTGCAAGATACATTTTCCCAGCACGCTCATCGTAAAGACCTTCCAAGTAGAGCACTGAGAAGTTACCGAAAGCATCCCCTGTAACTGAGATTTGAGCTGAAACATTCAGAAGAAGCTGTTTCTCAGTGTTTTCGGCTTTTGTGACATATGGAGTAGTAGTAGTAGTCTGTTCCGCTATAGAAAGATTTGAATTACGCCAAAAAAGTCCGAATAAAGGACCGAGCGAGAGAACATCCATCCCGAGATTAGTTCCCGAAGCCCGCTTGTCAGTAAAAGCAGGGGTATGGAAAGTCAAATCCTCAGCTAGAAGAGAAAGGCTTGAAAGGAAATCCTCTGAATCTTCTAATTTCGGAAACTTCATTACCGACTTCTTGATTATGGTTCCGAAAGAGAACTCTTCGTTTTTCTCAAGAATGACACCAGCTTCATCTAACTTCGAATAACTATAAAACGGATGCGAAACCGAAGACTGGAAGTAATTCTGCATATCCATAGGCTCCACAAACTTCTCAAACGATAAAGGGAAGAAAGACGGAGTCAAATTCTTTTCGGTATTTAGGCAGGAGATAGTTCCAACTAGTATACTTCGCTGCCGTATCGAAAAAGTAGTTGGGATATACAAACAAACCCGAGCATTGCAGCCATCAACTTGGCCAGCTCTGCACCCAACCATACATAACTGACCGCTCAAAGGTTTCCAAATCCCTTCAGCTGTAACAGTCATATTGTTTAGCCCTGATTTCAACCCTGAAATGTAAAGATTCTCATTCGGGTGAACTGCACGGAAAACCACTGATACTTTAGTAATAGCATCGGTTTCAGAACGAGCTGCGTTTTCCTCACAATGTACATTTTGCATATACAACTTCACATCTTTAAAGCTACCATCCGTCAATTTAATATCTCCATCAGACGCAAACGGACCCAATTTGCTGCAATAATCATCAGTACCATTACATTTCCAGTTAGGTACAACCGTGAGAGGCGCACGACTAGTAACTCTTTGAAGAAGATCACAGAATCCTTTCCCTTTGTAAACATCAACACTACTCCCGGAACTCGTAAAGGTATCGTTTTTATACGGATACGGATCACAAGCCTTTGATACCAAATCATCCGAAACAAAATCGTAACGAGCTGATTTCCCAAGCTGAGAAAACAGATTGATCTTATCGAAAAACTTGAGACTAGGCTTCTGGTTAAAACTTGTAAGCTCTCCATTAATCACTCGTTTCGTCAATGTGAAACTTTTCGGATACCGAATCACAAGCAGTATCTGATCATCTTGCAAAAGCGGAGGCGTCTCGTCGTGTTCTTTAACCCATTTCCATGGATCAGAAACAGAATCACGAAAAGGTAACATTGTTTCACCAAGCAAACACAAAACTCTCTCTTCTTCTTCTTCATTCTCAACATAAATCCCTTGAAAAGAGATCTTAAGCTGAGTATGACTAGGCCATAACTCAAACTCACGAATCCCACCATAAGATCTTAAACTTGGTAACTCATTAAACGTTGTAATCGCAAGTAGCAAAACACCATTAACACCAATGTATTTCTTGGTTCGGTGAGGAAGATCTAGATCTGTTACCAAGAAAGAAACCAGATTCATAGGCTTCGATGAGTTTGTCCTCGAATCAAAAGGTAGAATCGGTGAATTACCAGAATCTTGATTCCAATCACCGTATCGAAAGCTGAGTACTTTCTTGATTTTTCTAGGAGCCCTAGAGATTGGTTCGAGCTTTAACTCAGAAGCTGAAGACAACACAGATTTACACTTTCGCTTCACCTCATTGAGACGATCGTAACTAATTTTAGGTCCTGATTCTTCTCTGTTCTCACCAATCGATGCTTGTGTAGATTCAAAATCGACTTTTTGCTCAAACTCAAACTTCGAGAACGATGCAATTACAAAAAACCCATTTGAGAGAAAGATCAAAAGAAGGAGATTTACCGATTTCATACTGACATTAACCATAAAGACAGGAACTTGCGAGTTCCGACAATTGATTTTAGGACAAAGATCCAAACTTTGATTTAAGGGTAAGGAAAAAAAAGAAGAAGAATTTGGTATGAGTTTTTTTTTTTTTCTGCAATATTCGATTTGATGATAAACTTTACATCATTGGGAATGATGCAGATCGAAAGAGTGGGAAGAGAGACGATTACACTCGAAGTTGAGTCATAATGTATTAAGCAGAACAGTTAACAGAGAAAAGTCTTTATTTTTTTTTTCTTTTTTAAATATTTGTATTACTAACTTATAATAACTAAAAAAATTTAATATTATTACTCCAACAATGTGTATTGTTTTTTTCCTCATTAAATTAAAATATTGACAATGGGGGTTTATTTATCTTTCATTCAATCCCTATTATTATGTTTAACAACTTATGAATAATGATGGACTAAAATTATTGTTTTCTCCATTCGTTATATGTTCTTTAAAAGAATTATCCTAAAAAATGAGCAAAACTATCAATGTGATTATTATTATATTTCTTCCATTTGTTATACGTTCTTTTAAAAATATTATTCTAAAAATGTTCAAAACTATCAATATGATCAATTTTTTTTATTTAAATCGTTCGGTTAGTATTATAAACGATTGATTAATGTATTTGTTAGTTTTAAAAAAACCAAATACGTAAAATATATTGAAATATTTTAAGTTAGCATCCAATTTTAGAATGATAATATTTTGAGAAATTTTAAAAAATACCACTTTTCAAATGTCACTTTACAAAAATGCCACACTTTGAAATTTTTACAAAAATGTCACTTTTTCAAAATTATTTTTTCTTTATATTATTTATGTTTGGGTTAATTATCTTCTATTAGGGTTTAGTAATGAGGGTTTAGAGGTCAAAACATTT